CATTCTAGTTACAAGTAGGCCTACTTGTGGGCAAAATTTCAGGTCGAAATATCGTGATTAGTGTTTTTGGTAGATACCATGCAATAGGCTAAAATTCCAGTATAATGACTGTAACTCTGGAGGGAAGACCCATCAGCACATAGCCTTTTGGGTTTTTTTATGCTTCACCGGGATCTATCTAATACACATGCTCCGAACATGAAAGCGGCTTGACAGTACAAACCGTTCCATTGTGAGAGAAATATTAGTATTCAATAGGGATTTTACGCAAATACTTACTTTATTTGGTAAACAATGTGTATCTGGACTAATGAAACTAAGACCTCGTTGTCCATTACCATCGACCACACAATTTTTTATTGTTTGAAAAATATTTTCTCGTATTAATTTCATTGAGAATACACAAACAGCATGTGATGTATTAGTCGTTGACGATGTTGTCGTATTTCTAAATACACCATATAATCTTGAATTATCATCATCTTTAACCAAATAAGCACTAATTAAATACGGATAATAGATAGATGATGCCGATTTACATGTTATTGGTAATTCAACATAACTTTTAATTGGTGCTTGTTGTGCTTTTTGACAAAAACGAATTAATTTTGTTAATAATTTTTTTCCACCATTTTGTGATGATGATGTTCTCGAATAATGATTATAATAATGTTGTTGTTGTTGTTGTATATCTAATTCTTGAATTGTTAAAAAATAGGTAAATAATCGATGATCAAAACCATAGAGATAATGTACTGGAAATTCTCTAGCTATTCGATTATTAACAAAACGTAATGAATATGAACTACTATGTAAATCATTTGAAAAATGATTAAATATTTTTAAAAATGTTGACGATTGTTTCGATAATGATCGTCCAGATAATGCTGGAATTTCATAGAGTGAATCACATGATGAATCATATGTAACAGCTGTATATAAAATAGAATCATTTCCAATAAAACTAAATGATGAATAGTGAATATTTGTAGAGACAATTCTAGATGATGAATTTTCAATAATTGTTAAATTTGATAATGAACGTATTTGACATAGACCACGATTCGATGTTGAACATACGAGTAAATCATTAGATGGTGTTAATAATAATAATTGATTGTAAGTTGAATTAATCGTTGTTTGATTACTAAAACAAAACGTTAATTATTTTTTTATGTTATTAATTGTCAGAATAGTGAATAATTTCTAGTAATAGCAAACTTTAGTGAAAATTTTAACTTACTTGAATAAATATGAATTAATTGATAAATAATTTAGAGGATTAGTATTGATATAGGATGTTGTTATATTTCCTCGGGTTATTATGGTGGTACACAATTCTGTAGTAGAAGATGTCGATGATGTATCAATTTCCGTAAGTATGGATAAATTTGATGAATGTAATTTATATAAACGATCGTTTGATGCAACAATAATTGTTTGCGTTTGTTCATCGAATAAAAAACGTTGTAATGTTGTTGAAGATGAAAATTTATAATTTGAAATTAATAATGAATATTGAATAAATGTACAAAAATTAAAAAATATTAAATAATAAGTAGAAATTGAAAAATAAAAAACATTCGACATTCGTTGTAAAAATATTTTGATATGGAAGACATCAAAAACAAAAGAGAAATATTTTTTTCCAAAACTACTTATTTAATCTAAAATAATAAATAGAAATATCTAATACACACTCATTGAAGAATAATATAATTAAATTTAAAAGCTATTAACAATGTCTTATTTAGATATTTTTTCTATTCAACAAAAATATCATTTACTTTTTTAAAATTTAAATCTATTTTATGTATATTTTTCTAACATTAGTTATAAACTTAATAATCTTGTTTTACTATGTATTGAAAATAGTTAATAAATACAAATGTATATAAAAATCATTGTCTTGTTCTTTTCTTCACTTAGAACAATTAAGTGAAAGAGAGAAGTATAAAAAAATAAATTTATGTTTAGCTTAAAGCTAAATCAAAGAAATCGAATCACATTGAACTTTATCGTACTACTGTTGAATAAATGTAGTAATGACGATATAAACGTACACTATTGATCTCACATTCATCATTTATGAATAAAAAAAAATGTTTTTCTTTAAAAATTCTCAAAATAATCTTCGTCTATTTTGCCAATATGTCACTTTCTAAAGTAAATCATATTAATTGTCACGTCTATTTTGATCAACTATTGTGTAACAGCGTTGTCTAATATTTAGTTCAGTACCGACTTCCTATCGATAGATAGAAATGATCTAATTTTGCCATTTCAGTAAATTTGTTTATTCTATCTATCTATAGATGTGCGTGTACGTGTTAATAGAGTTAGTAAAAAAAAAATTTTCTTTTTTGATTTGCATCATGTTTTTGAGTAAAGTTTTGCTTATGGCATTCTCTGTCATATCCAGACAGAATGAGAGAGAGAGAGAGAGAGAGAGAGAGAGAAACGGATGCTAATGTAAAACCATATAAAAGAGGAAACGATTACTAACTTTTGTTTATATATTCCATACAACGATGACGATTAATATCGAATTAGTTAAAAACTAACTTTGAACGTGTTTCACTTATCCATGTCGAGAGATTTATGTATTCGCTTCTCTTTTTTTTTTCTTCTTCTTTTGAGAGATTATACACGATAAAATCACCAATTTACAGCTTCTAGTCTGATGAACTTAACAAAATTAACTATAAGAAACGAGAAGAAGAAGAAGAAGAAAAAAAATCTTCTTTCGTTTTGATTTGAAAATAATTCAACCATGTATTGATGTGCAACAATATAAACATGTATTTTTACTGAATGAAATAAAATACATATGTATGAGTGATTGATTACGCAATTGAAAGAAATTCAGTCAATAACAAAGATTGGAAAAACCTCGAGACGTATCAGAAAATATATACCAGAAATGAATGGAAATGAAGCAAGTTAATAAATAACAGTGTGTAGTTCAAAAGTTTAGTGTCTACTTGTGGGTTAATCTTCACTTTTTGTTTTTTTTAATGTCGGATAATACATTAATCTTTTAACACAATCAAACGCTTCAGTTTTTCCTAAGTCGTGCACGATTTTATCGATTTACATGTCTTAAAATTGAGACGTTTGTATACACAATACAGGGTTAATGTATTAAAGAGGAAAAGTAAACTGTGTGCTTCTTGAACAATTATGGAAGATGGATACAATAGAAGAAGAAATACCGTAACCAAAAATATATAGTGAGAAACGATCAAAAGAGTTAATCATAACCGAAGCTGTGTATTACATCTATTAACGAGCCCATTTACTTCTCGTTCTACATTGAACAAATGTCTCTTTTTCCAATATTGTACAACCAATCAATCCTAGCAAACTTTCGCTAAATTGTGGACTATAAAAAATTATTCATCGTGAAATATTGATTCGTTCAAGAATTGAATATGGATGTAGGGATATTAGTAGACTCTATTTTTCTACAGTTTAATGAAGTATCCAATGTTTGCGTTAATTACAAATCAATTTAGAATCAACAAATTTACTGCGATGATTTAAAAATATTTTCAATTACGTCTTTTCTAAGTATATGAAGTGAAAAAGCCAAAATACTCATATGTTTCCAATTTTTGAGAACAGAATGAATTAAAACAAAGTTAAGAAAAAGAAGAAATAAAATCGTTCATAGTTGTTTTGGTTTTTTGAAAAAACAAAAAATTTTTATCAAATTTAACTAAACGGTTCATATACTTAATTAAAAGAAAAGTAGCGAAAGGAGCCTGACACATTTTCTATTTCATAATCTCTTAATAATTGTTCATAATTTTTAATATAGAAGACGTACAGAGTTGCATAACCTCTTATTTTTTTTATCAAGTCTGCCTTGTCGGAAAATTGTCAGATATCTTCGAAGAACACTTGTAGAGTACACAAGGATATTAATTCTTAATATACACGCGTTAGACTACAAAATGGTATAGTTCTTTCAAAAATTAAGTTTCGCTCAAAAAAAAACTCGACTTTCTGAGATGGAGAGCGGTATCCTTTTATTTAAATTTAAAAATTAAGATGCTATATTAATGTATTAGTGTATGGTACTATATCAACAGTTCTAAGGCATCTTAATGCTTGTACGCGTAAAAAAAATGAGTTTCGAGCTCAAAAAAACATAATCCAAGACGTGTACTAATGCATACAACTTTTAAGAAATTTTAATACGTTCGTATTCACAACATTCTTGATGCAAACGTAAATTCTACGACAATTCTACATACAGATGAGAGTTTAACAAAACAAAACAAAACAAAATACAAGTGTGTACTTGTATGAATTAATTTTTAAGATTTTTTTTTGATTTTAACGTATTTAATTTTCAAATTTTAGATAAGACTTCAAAAACTCTCATTAACCGATAGGAATCAAAGTATAAAATCCTTTGTTTGAACACACGAAACTGTTGATGAAATCGATTTATTTTTCATGGTCTGTGTAACTTAATTCTATTTTAGTAGAATTTCAACTAAAAGTATTGTTCACTTATCGTCGAGACAATTAACACATAGCACGGTTCCATTGGCTACCATTCTAATAAATCAAACTCAAAACTAAACAGCAGAAATAATGACATTAGAAATTTTCTTTTTTCACACAATTTTCTTTTTTTTTATAGATGTAATCATTAGTTTTATTGTTATAATATATTCAATAGATAGATGTTACTACTGTTTCCACTACAATGTTCGGCAACATCATTTCTTTTCTTCTCATTATAAATGATAATTTCTTTTTTTCTGACAATATCATATTACAAATGACAACACAACTGATGACAATGTATAGATTTATATAACTCACAAGACAGACGTTTGAAATGTATGCTATTTGACCTTTGTCCGACGACAGATAGAGAAGATGCTATTCACAAGGATAGAGTCTAATATAATGGCATGTATGTCCTTCTAATAAAATAATACAGAAGACCTTTGAGTTTAAAATATGATGTGCATTATCCGTGATATTAATAAATACTAAAAAAATTTCTATTAAATCACCTGGAATATCTTCTACATATTGTAGATATACAAAAACTTTCATGGTTCATAAATAATATAATAATAATAATACTCGTTATTATCATGGTGTCGCACGACCATAGAGTCCACATGTTTAATTAACTATATACATACGAACAAAATGAATTCTAATCATTTTACCATATTTGTCAGATGAAAGGTGAACAGCAAACATAAACAAAACGAAATAACTTAGTTGTTTTGTGTACACATTTATTATTTTATGAAAACAAATAGACACATGTAATTGATACTCAAAATCGATTATCATCTGTTTTTCTCTGTTTCTCACACACATATACATACCCCTAACGTCATGAAATATAAGTTCGATCCATTAAAAAACATAACTAAGACAATACTGATCTATCTCTCTATTTTAGAGTAAAAGAAGGGTTAAAACGTTTAAAGACGTTGAAAATTTAGAAAAATTGAACGAAAAATTGTTCATTAAAAAAACAAAAAGAAAGGCTAGATATAATTGACAGAATTTTCATGACATTCGTGCTAGTTTTCATTCATAATACAAGAAAATAGATTCTATTGTGTTAAACTAAAAATGATAATAGTATTGTTGTTGTTTTTCTCAGTCACCTTCTTATACCTCAACCATCTTTTTGATATCCTCACAAAAACAAAAAAATTATCTTTAATAAAATAAAATGTTTAAATAAAATTGATTCTCAATTTATTTTCATCATACAAAATAACTTCTTTTTTTTTCCTTTCTCTTGTTTCATTATGATAACTCTTTAATAATAATCATATCATACACAAACTGAATGTCTCGCCGCTAATGTCACGGATGTCATACATCATTAATATAACTATAAAATATGTTTTATTTCTATACCTATTCTCCATTATAGCGTGCATCGATGTGTCAATACCTTTATTTCAAGTTTCGATAATTTCACTCTTAAGAAAAAGAAGAAGAAGATAACAACGGAAAAACGATTGAACATATTTTATTGAAAGAATTTTCTAAGTTTGTATTGTACCGATTGAGAATGAAGAAAAAAAAAGAAAAATTAACTTCGAATATGTCCCGCCTGTTTCACATTATGGCGTTGTTCAGAGAAGAACATTATACATTTCAATAGCTGCTCTCATCAAGATGTGAAAATGATAGAAAAAAAAAAAATTTTTGTTTACATTTATTCATTGTGTAAAGAAAAAAGAAAAAAAATTCTAATTGCTTGATATCTCGAGAAATTTGGCTTCATGTCCTTTGCCCAAAATATTTCCTGTGGGGATGTACAATATTCTAAATAATGTTATATTTTTTCTCTCGATATTTTTGTTCTCTCAACCATCTAGATTAACAACTTATCTAAATGTAGCAACATCACAGGTGTTGTTTTTAAATTTCAAAAATATTAAAGAGTCTTATGACTGAAAGCTGTTCGAAGACAATATTATTTGTTTCCTGCTGCGTGAAATCAACCATGAACCCTGTAGTACAATCTATGTACAAGTACTTATACTTTACAAATCACAAGAGAGTATTTTTTTTGTTAAAAAAATAAA